AAAAAAATAGATCATTAATAACGAAAATCCGATCATCACTGTAGAATATTCTGTAAGAAAATGATCACACCGTGTTCCTGTTACATTCTAAAGATACTAAAAGACTTGTACACCTATCCAGGTTAAACAAGCAGGCAGTAAGATCTTACAAAAATTCTACAGTGCGTTTTAATGTAAAATGTGTTAGGTCACCATTCTAGTATGATTTCAGCTGATCTTACAAGATAAAATACTTCAAAGATATTTATATTTACTTATTAACTTTTCCAAAATGATTAATATCTGTTTATGGTAGATGTCGTTGTCTCAATGAATAGCATGATGCCGAATCCTGTTTTATTTTCATTACTGAGAATAGGAGAGACGATTAGCAGCTTATGAACGAGCTGATGACATGAAAGATGGTCGTATTCTTCAAAACTTTTTCTCATAATCTACTTTCGTGATTTAAATTTTGTGTTCCAATTTACGTAACTTTGCTTCAAATATTTTTTTTGTCGTTGAAATAGTAAACTTTGCACACATGTGATGAAACAAAATAAAGAAATTTTTTCTCGTAAAATTTAATTTGAACAGAGATATATGTAATAAGGTGTGAGTTTCCGGCTCATCTACAAATTCACACACCCTATTGTCTATGAATCATGGTTTAGATAGAAAAAGTCTAAAACAAATATGGTTTTCAGACTTTTGTTTTCTGTTCCAACTGATTCTAGCCATTCTAAATCCTATCAGAACTGCATTTAAGTAAGTCAAATGATTGAGTTTATAGTCGAACTTTAATTCTCATCAAGTAACATAAGTTATCGTTGTATTCTTCATCTTTTTTCCCTAGAGAAATGTTTCTTCATTTCGACTTTCAGATAAGTATCAATTTAGCTTGCTTTTTGTTTCAACAAGGAAGTCGTTGCCAACTCGTATAGACTAAGAAAATATTTCCCCATAATTATGGTTAATTGTCTCCTTCTTTTGAATAGATCAATCAATCTCATCTGCATTTTTCTAGATAACTTTGTTTTATTGAAATATAAGGTTACTCGATTTCCGTCAAAATGACTTTCTCCAATATGTCATTCCCTGAAGTCACATTTTCGCGAACATTCGCCATCGACGAAATTGAGAAACTCTAGATATTATCAGTTAAGTCTCCGAATCTTAAATAAATATATTTCTTCCGAATAAGTGAAAATTTAGACAAAATTGAAACTGGCTTGTATCACAAATATTCACTCTGTTCTTTAATTAACCTTAAGAAAATCTTGTATTTTTCGGCGAAAAAGAACAATTTCTACGTTTGGATATTTTGAACATAAATTTTCCAAAAGTTATTCAAAAGAAAAAGAGGATTTTGCAAGGTCACAATCCTTAAAATGATGATGATGCTGAAACCTTGCGGAACGCTGGTAGAAGTAGTTAATAGTTATGTCATTGGTTGTTTTAAAAACTATGCATTGAAAACAAAAACAAAAACATGTCTGTTAACACCGACTGAAGTATTCGCTAGTCAAAGAAACATTTGAATTATAGCAATATGTGTGCGCAAATTTTTTCATCGCTAGTAAATTTATCGATAAAAATCTTGAACAAACTGTTCAAATTCTTCTGAAAAGCCATGATTTTTATAAATACACTTATGCTCTGATATCAAAGATTGGTTCTTTTTTAACTACTGCTTCATCGTAGATTGAGATGATTCCAGTGGATGATAAATTTAATTTCGTCAACTGTTGTCTTCTTAAGAAGAATAAGTTCGTCGATGAAACAAAAACATTTATCAAATAAAAACTTCCATGATACTACAGACTACATATGGTTTTTTCTTTTGATATTGAATATGATTGTTGTTACTCTTTTCAACGAACTAGTGCCTTTAGTCAATATTAAATTCAAGTGCCAAACCTGTTTCTGTATTCTCTATCATTATAAGTATATCTATAGCCATTGGCACACTAATAGTTCATTCTAACACATCAGAAACATCAGACATTTTACTTCTTGTTTTACATGTGCTGTATATCTACGATGAATATAAGTAACAATGTTTTGGACTTTTTGATTAAAAAAGCATCAAATTTTGATAGCATTTGATATCGATATCTTCTAAGTAAGTCATCGGTTGAGAAGAAAGTTAAGAGAGTTAAAAATCCTTCACTTTGATCTGATTATCTATAGATGACTGAGTCAAATCGTTTGATCTGCCTCTTCTGTTGTTTTTGTCATAGATCTTTTAAAGTTCTACAAAAGATTTCTTTTTCTCTATCACATTCGTGTAGTTTTTGAATATAATAAAAGGCGATTGAAAAGTCTCGACTCCTATCCGTAAATTAATGGTAATTGATCGAAATATATGATTTCATAGAGGATTAGGGAGAGCTGCATCTGACAAGAAGATACTTTGACATGCATCAATATATTCCACTGCTTTTTTTTTGTATTTTATCAATTTCGAGTGAATCATTTCAGCTTACATTTTTGAGAAAAAGTCTTTTTCATAACAGCAGTATGTCTTTGATCCTCACAAGGGTTTTATAGAAGACTTATCATTTCAATGAAATCATATTCATTTATCTTGCATCTCCTATTGAATTTTAAAAAGAACATTAAGAGAATTTTGATGAAATCTGCAAAAATCGTCGAAAAGCATTTCCAAGCAAGTATGATATGAGACAACAAATTCCAAAACAGGAAACTTTGTAAAATAAGATTGTCAACATGAATGCCTTTAGGAATATAAAGAATATTACAAAACTACAATCATAATCAGCTAAATTGACGAATATTATTCCATTGAAAGGACACATTTTGTATTAAACCTTTTAGAATAAAAATACATACAGCTGTTATGAGAAAAATTCTTCTCAATGAAACGTAAGATGAAACTAGTCATAAAAGATTAGTACGATAGGAATAACATTGGACTAGATTGATGTATTCTACAAAATTACCTATTTCAATCAATTAACAGATTATAAATTCGTGATAGACACTCTTAATTCGCTGAGAGGGTCAAAATTTTCGAATCATTCTTTGATTAACTTGTCATATTTGTCTCTCCACATCGAAACGGAAATGAGATAAATACTTGTAAGGTTTTTTTACATCAAACTATCAGCTGTAACTGAGAGTTTCTACACTGAAAAACCTGGTTTTTGTGTGAGTGAGTGTGGATGAGGTCAGAGAGAGAAGATTCACCCACATCTCACAAAAAAGCTTGTCAAGCTCGTGAGAATGTGCGGAGGGCACATCTGAAATCCATTTTTCTTTGACTCCGTGCGGAAGATGCAAGAACGAAAAAAAATGGTAATTAACAGCTGGTAATTTCCTCATATAGTTATAAATGACTTAGTATTTGAGTAACCATTGATATCTCGCATCTTATATGCATATGCACGTTAACGATCATTTTGTATAAATTAACTTTATCCATGAAAGAGTCTCACGTTAGTCTTAATGCGTATTTGTTCGTTTTTGGTTACTCTGCTCAGTCATGTGTATCATCATAGTTATACGAACCATATGATAACTATGTTATTGACAGATCCAGGTAAATCCCTGTTTCCAGACACTATTCTTTCATCAACCCGTATTGCCATGACAACTCGCTTTTAAAGATGTCACTAGTTAGATCTTATATTAACAAAGATTGGTCTATATATCATCCACAAATTTCAAATGTATGTAACCTTCTTCTATTATAGAATAGTTATCTTTTTGTTCATAATGTATTAATGGAGCACGAATCATCCGTTGTTCGTCTACGTCGAAAACTTAGTGAATTATCACAAGAGTATTCAAAAGAAAAACAAGTTCAACCACCAAGAAGTAAATCCGCTAATGGACGAGTTCCAGTATTAGATCCAAATGCTAGTTTTCGTTATCGACGAATGAGACGAAAAGTATTTAAAAATAAAAATTATCTAATTTAAATTACAAAGAAAAAAAAATTTTTTTCTAATGTCTAGGTTGATGTTCTTCGTACACAAATTGATACTGTCATAGAAGATAATTATATTACAACAACTGATAAAGATAATTCACAAAAAGAAATGATTCCAACACGTGATAATAATGATGTATCATTGAAAAAGAAATTGATAATGAGTGATGATCAAAATCTTGTCACAAGTGAACTTGTTCAAGTATTAAATAGTAAACAAACAAGAATTGATGAACTCGAACAACGTTTAAAACAAGTTGAACAACAAGAATCTCAATGGAAGGTAAAATAATATTCGTATAACAATCTGAAAAGAATTCTTTGTTTATTTTATTTTTTTTGTCTAGATCAAATATGAACGAGAATGTAATCTTTGTGAATTATTAAAAACAAGAATTGTTGAACTTGAACAAGAATTATTAGGTAGAAAATATCAATCGAAAATTCTTGGTCAATTACAAACAGATGTTAAACGACTTCATTCAGCTTTTGATGCCTTAGAAGTAAATTTAAAGAATAAGAATGATTCTGAATTTTTTTTTGTTTTTTATTTTTAAATAGGTTGAAAATACTCAACTTAATGTTCAATTATCACTTTCTCGTAATACTCATCTATCATCACAACTTGATAAATTTCGATATGGTAAATATAAAACTGTCAATTTATTAAATAATCTGTTTATTTTTCTTTTCATGTCAAGAATTAGCGCACACATGTCACGAATCATTATGCTAGATCAGATATTATCGGCTAAATCATATCTATTCTCTTATCTACGAAATGGATATTAGTTTTTACTAATAGACAATATTTGCATCTTTAACATATCACTATAATGTCTTATAGATTTTTGTTTTTTTTTCTGAAGTTATTTCTTTTTTTTTCTTTTTTGGTTTTTATTTACATATTGAAATAATATTAGTCAGACTGAATAAATAATAGAATTATTATATAAAATGAATTTTTGTTAATTATGTTTTATTTATGACAGTTGAAGGAGATATTTTCATTAGTATTAGGTTTAGGTACTGGCACATAGAATCTCATTATAACAAAAGAACATGATGAAATGAAAGCGAGGACATAGACTTTAATCTGACTTGCTGATAGATATTAGAAAAATTATTTCTTGACGTACAAAGGTTAGCGAATGCAGAACAAATAAGTCTAACATTTGTTTTCAAGAACATGTGATGAAAACATCTATATTATCATTTAGACTCAATCGATCAAGTTGAAGAATGACATCATTTTTTTTTCGACAAATCAATAGATGATGACTTTATTCGATAATAAATGTAATACGGAATGATGACAGACAATCATCTCATCTTTTTATAAGCACAAAATTTTCTTTTCAAGAGAATTCTAGCTTTCAAGCTAAGTCAACTATGTAAAAAAAAACATGCATTTCTGTTTTTGAGTTATAATTTGATCAAAACATAACAATGAAAACCTAAAAAACAACGAAACAAAAAACAAATTTCATAAAAGCAGTCATATATACTCTCTATGTGTTTTTAAGTTATTTCTTACAACTTAATCATGATGATGAAGCATGATGTGACAATATAAGAAGTTACGAATATCATTATTACTATACTATTTAACTAAGGTGTTGACTTGATAAGAACATTTGAATTTAAATGAGTCGCGAAGAAGTAACACGTTCTTCGTCCATAACTGAGTCCTTACCATCTGATGATGGTGCATTATCTAGTTCCATAGTTCTTCAACATTCTCAACGTTTTAAACGACTTAAGCCATTAAATTTTTCTTTATTACGTTGGAATCTTCTTTGGTTATTTGTGATAGTAGTCTTTATTACATTACCTATTTGGCTTCGTTTTGCATCTCAATCATGTCAAGCTACATATTACACTATAATATCAATATTACTTTGGTTAGATCTCGTTTGGTTCTTAGCATTAGTATTTTCCATATATACATTAATTAAATTAAAATATGGAATGCTAACAGATCATAAACAAAATTATTCAGCTGATGCACCATTAATTCATTTACTTATATTAACAATATATAACGATGATATGGGTGTTATTTGTCGTACAGTTGATTCACTTGCTGAACAAACTGAAGCTAAACGTATTGTATTAGTTATAGCATGGGAATCTCGAACACCAGATCGAGAAGAACGTACTGAAACTATGCGTAATCGTTATTCAGATAAATTTTATTCTATAATTTTTCCTGTTCATCCATATGGTCTTGAAAATGAAGTAGCATCAAAAGCAGCTAATGCTAATTGGGGTTTAAGAGAAGCTGTACGTTATATAATGGCAGATGAGGAAAGAAAAAAAAAGACTGAACATGTTATGGTAACAACATGTGATGCTGATACATTATTTCATTCGAAATATTTTGAAGCTTTATCAGCTGATTATTTAAGATGTATTAAAGAAAATGATCCAGCTGTACATCGTACAATATGGCAAGCACCACTTTTTTATAATTGGAATTTAGATCAAAATTCATTTCCTGTTCGTATAACAGGTCTTGTTCGTTCTTTAATGACAATGGGTTTACTTATTCCATATAATGTTAATCCAATGTCATGTTTTTCATTTTCATTAACACTTGCTGTACGTGGAGGTTATTGGCATCCACAAATATTTATGGATGATGTTGGTTATTTATTAACAATGATGATTGGTAGACAAAAACGTATACGTATACGTCTTTTACCTGTTCCTGTTCGATCTGGACCAACATCAGGTGATACCTGGTTGAATGACGTTAAAGAATGGTATACTCAAGTACGCAGATGGGGCATTGGTATGAATATTTATTTTTCTTTTTGTTTTGATGAAACATGATCCAAAATCAGCAGATACGTCAGAAGTGGTTCATCGCAGACAGTTGTAGCTATGTCGCTCTTTCATCACAAATGTTATTGATATACTATCAAAGATTGCATATCAATAACGTCTCGTTACTATTTCCTTATTACATTTCTGAAGGCCTAAGTAAAAGAATGTTGAAAGAAATATGTCATGAAATAGATAGAATAGAACAGTTGCCTTGTGATTAGAAAGTGTAGCTGTTTCGTTTTTTACATTTTAATATCATAGAGATTGTGTTAATAATTTCATTATATTTGATGTTTTTTTTAATTTTTCTTTTAGGTACAGCGGATAATTTTCATTATTTTGCAGTTAAAGTTCCTCGCTTACCAATATTAGCTTCATGTATTTTTGCTATTGGTTATTTTCTTTATTATGGTGTTATACTTTGTAGTGCAAGTCTTTTTAGTGTCTCATCAGGTTTTTTTCCATTACTTTGCCCCAATTTCGAATTACCTTGGTTACCAAAACAACTTCACGCTTATTATTTACACCTTTTAATTGCTATTGTTATACCTCAGTTACTTTATGGTATTTTATTTATCCTAGATGCTATTTGGTGTAAATGGACATTGAATGTAAAAGAAGATATTTTTATTCTTCGAAATATTCTTCATTGGATTTTAACACCATTAACATTAATTGCATTAAGTTTAGTCCAATTATGGTCATATATTGTTTTAGCTGTACAAGGAAAAAAAGCTTGTATTCATAAATTAGCTGGTAAAGCTACATTAGCTCAAGTAGATAGTGTTGCGTGATTTAATTTTTATTTCGATTTTAATGCGAAAAGCAAGAAAATATATTTTTTTATTTAAAATAAAGATTGTTTTTTTTTGATTGATAACATATGAAGAATCTGTTAGAAATATTCAAGAGTTCTTTTTTTTTCTGAAATGTATATGAATTATAGAGGATCCCGGCAGATTTGGTGTTCTATCTTGAACTAAGATGTCATATATGTGATTTTTCAGAGCACTTGACGGTACATCGAATGGTATAAATATATAAAATCAAGTTTCATGAAAATTTTGGTTTTCTGTGGGTTCATATACTGATCATCATTATTCGATAGCTTTGTACTATAGAAGACGTGCCCATCAAGGTGAAACTTTCTCAAAAACTGCACACTATTGAACTCTATATGTTTCACGCATAACATCTTTCGGAACTGTATGCAAGGGCCGGAATATTAATGATATTTTAGCAATACTCAACGGACTCATTAAAAATTTTCATGTCTCTATAGTCAGCACAGCATCTATGATGAACTGATATAAATGAAAAAGAAATTTTGACATCCAGACTCCTCGACGGAAGTACGGGAAGATGGTCACAGGAAGGAGGCTCGCTATTTTTATTATTTGTTTTTCAAATTTTTATTTCAAGTATTCACCTTTGATGTTTGAATCAAATTCTACCAGAGCTTGTAGATATCTTCTATACATTTAAAAAAAACACTGTTCATGTTTCTGAACCCTCTTAAACAGTCTAGAAACTGAAATGTTTATCCTATTCATCAAGTGAAATGAGTTTCTGCTGTTTCGAAAGATGTTATATGTGACATATGCAGAGTTCGATGCTACGCAGTTTTTGAGAAATTTTTACGAAGGTACTCACTTGTTCTACCCTACAAACTTGAGCAGATTGGAATATTAAATAGTCAAGATAATAACCTAGACTGAAGAAAAAAAAATATGAAGAACACCAATAACTGTATTGAATTGAATTTAAAAATAAAATTTACATGAGTATATGTGAGAAGTCACAATATCTATGAGTACCATGTATATGAACCGTCAGAAAATCAAGATTTTCATAAAACCTGATCTCTTCTACACCATTGGATGAACCGCACATTGCTCTACATGAGCACATATATGAAACCAATCCGATGGAGTTCTTTCAAAGAATAGATTGTTTTTGGACCGATCAAGTGCAATTGAAAAAAATTACAATAGACTGAAGATCTAAACCGAGATCATCAAACCTGTCAGATTGTGTGAAACAAATATAGGCTCTGATTGTTGAGCTTGTCTTTTTACGTTTCTTTTAAAATTCTCAAAAGAAAAAAAAAACACTTCATTTTTTGAGCAATAAATGTAGATATTTTAGTATAAAGTCAAGTATCTTTGTTGTTAATAGATAAGAAATTATTTTCTTTTATCATTATGACTGACTACAAAAATGGTTTATTATAGATTATGATTACGTTATTAATTTTTTTTCAGTTTATTCATTCATTTCTTGAAGTTACTGTTCGCATTTTCTAACTGACTTTTCTTATCATTGGGCATAAATCGTTGTTTGACTCTTACTATTGTAAAATGTCTGATTTCGATATGTCGTCTTCCATGGATTTGTGAAACATATTCAAAACATACTTAATTAAAATTAAAAATTGTCTTTTTTTTCAGAATATTGAATGCTTGTATTAATTATCTTCTTTCAGTCTATATGGTTTTGTTATTGACGAAAAGTCGTCCTATCGAAATTTTTGATACAAATTTAATATATATATAAAACAAGTGTTGAAGTTTTATTTTTCAATAATTTTGAATTCCAATCGACTTTTGATATTTTATTTATTTCTAATTTTTTTGCTAATAAAAATAATTTTTCCAAAAAACTTGAATTAGAACATATGAAAAGAAAAAAAAAACGTAACTGTCATCCATATTATAATGGTCGAATAGTAACATGGAAACCATTACTTGCCCAATGTTTATCTCGAATATGTTCTTCGAATGCCAATTGTTCTTCTAAATTATGTTTTTCTAATGTTTGTTGACATTCTATACAATATTCATAATAAACATTGGTATGTTCGGTATCAAGATGATGAAGAAATTCTCCAAAACGATATAAAAT